GGGGGGCGCCCAGCGGGCATAAAGGGCCTTACCCTCCCTTGGAGAAACTTTACCGACTGAGTACATGAGCTTTGGGGTGAAGTAGGTGAATGCGTAGATGAGCTTTGGGATGAAGCGGGGAGAATAGGTAAGTTTAGGGGTGAAGTTTAGTGGGGGTTAAGTTTAAGGGAGGAGTTGTTTAGAGTTTAAGGCCCTTACCTTGAGTTAGGTTTTGCATGAATTGGGGAATTGGTTAAAGACAGGTTACAAAAAAGTTAGGATTTGGGATTTGGTGATGGGAAAGGCAAGGTTGGGCGACTGGGAGTCAGAGCAGGCTGTATACCCTATGGTTGGTAAAAGGACAGAGACATTAGGACAGTGGGAGCATTGTGGTGGGGTGGGGATGGGTGCCTGTAGAAATTTGGAGGGCTCCTGGCTAAGGGGCCGGCCCCTCATGGGTCCTTTGTGCCTTTCCAGCTCGGTAGTGCCAAGGGCAAGGCAGGCGCCATGACCCTAATTGAAGGGGTGGGTGATGAGGTGACCATCCTTTTCTCGGTGCTTGCCTGCCTTCTGGTGCTGGCCCTCGCCTGGGTCTCAACACACACTGCTGAGGGCACGGACCCACTGCCCCATCCGTCAGGGACCCCAGCGGCAGCACAGCCCAGCGAAGCCATGGCAGCCACTGACAGCATCAGAGGGGAGGCCCCAGGGGCCGAGAGCCACAGCCTGAGACACAGAGGTCAAGCTGCACAGCCAGAGCCCAGCACGGGGCTCACAGCAACACCATCAGCTCCAGACTCCCCACAGGAACCCCTAGTGCTACGGCTAAAATTCCTCAATGATTCAGAGCAAGTGGCCAGGGCCTGGCCCCATGACACCATCGGCTCCTTGAAAAGGTAAGCAGGGAACATGACACTAAAGGATGGGGTGGGAGTGATCACAGAAGGGCCAACAGAGAGATCTGAGACCTCCCCCTCCTTTTACCTTTGAGAGCACTGGGCTCCTCAAATCTCACACTGTACTTGTTTCCCTGTGGCAGACTGCCCCCTTGGAAACCACGGCCTGGGTAGTGTGTGGAGGGCATAGGGTGGGAGTGTTTTTCTAGGGCAAGAGACTAGGATTGCCTGAGGCCTGCTCTCTTACCCAGGTCCCTCTCTCCTCAGGACCCAGTTTCCAGGCCGGGAACAGCAGGTGCGGCTCATCTACCAAGGGCAGCTGCTAGGAGACGACACCCAGACCCTAGGCAGCCTTCACCTTCCTCCCAACTGCGTTCTCCACTGCCACGTGTCCACGAGAGTCGGTCCCCCACATCCCCCCTGCCCCCCGGGGTCGGAGCCCGGCCCCTCCGGGCTAGAAATAGGCAGCCTGCTGCTGCCCCTGCTGCTCCTGCTCCTGCTGCTGCTCTGGTACTGCCAGATCCAGTACCGGCCCTTCTTTCCCCTGACCGCCACTCTGGGCCTGGCCGGCTTCACCCTGCTCCTCAGTCTCCTGGCCTTCGCCATGTACCGCCCATAGTGCCTCCGCGGGCACTTGGCAGTGTTGCTGGCCCCTCTGGACCTTGCTTCCCGCGTGACGGTGGGAGCTGCTGTCTGCCCAGGCCTGCCTCTCGGGCTTGCCTCTTTCCATTACCCTGGAGCCCAGTCCTGCGTCGCAGAGGACTCCGGGGCCTGACGGAGGCCCCTCCCTGCGACCTCCATAGCTCTGGGCCACCTCCTGGGGCTAGTGGTCCTCAGCCTTCGGGATCAGGCACTTGTTGTCGCTGCCTTGGCCCTGGACAGAGCCGGGCCACGCCCCTAGGCCCGTCTTAGTGTCCTGCCTGAGGACCCATCCACCTCACCTCTGGTCCCTGACGGCTCCTTGGGCTGGTTGGGGGCCTAAGGACTACGGGAGGCTGGGGAAGGGGAGCTGGGAAGGGGAGCTGGGAGGGGCAGGGGAGTTCTCTGGAACCTGTGCCGATTAAAATAACTGTGAAGTTTTCACTTTTGGTGTGTGTATGAGCGTATGGGACTGGGGGACAGGGAGTCCTTGCCTACTGAGGGGGAAGGGAATGAAGGGCACGGACTGGGCCCTCACCCACCTGCCTACCTTCTCTCCTCTGTTCCTCCAGAGACTTGGCGCTGGGCTCTGAAGCCCCGCCCACTGGCCCCCGCCCCCGCCCC